GCCAACAAATGCCGGAGGGTCACGAGACAAATGCGATATACAAGGAATGTCAAGCCTGAACAAAATCACATTTACTATGGGAATATAAATTAGGCAAACATGCTTTTTCTTCCTGCAGTCAGTCACACTACTTATTTTCAACGTAAGTAGTTTTCAGAAATATAAACAATTCCTAAATAAGAACTAATCTAGCCTAGGTAGCCAAAGGGGAGATAAGGGTTAATAATTGAGTCTTCCTTTAATGTAGTGAGTAGGCCTCACGATGTCATTGACTATCACTTGACCTTATCTCCCTAAAGGCTATCTTATGCAGAAGTAGGGATATATGGGTTATGTTTACCCCATTTCGTTTTAGGTGATAAAGGACTAGTAGTTGAAGATATATGATTTAACAGTAGTCTTGAAACCCTACTCAATAACTAAAAAGTAATATCATTGATTGCTATAGCAAATATAAGTTTGCCTCATCGGCACTCCCAACACAGCGTGTGATATGAAAAATACCTGACCTTCTTTGAGCTTCGCATCTGCTAACGTGTAGAGATTACACGCTACACTGTCAAGGATCGACTCCCGCTGGGGTTGTTGATAAGACAAAGGCGAAGTCGAAACTACAGTCCACTCTAGCCTTATTAAGAACAACTTTTAGGAAAGCAAGGCTCTGTGATATTCAATGGAAGACATCAGCTCCACTTTTATCATTGTGTGAAAATTCAACTACCAGTCCTTCATGACCTTAAACGAAATACGGTGAACACAGCTAATATATCTTATTGACTGGTAGTCTCGAAAACCTACGCAACAACGAAAAACGTAACGATAGTCTCGATAACTAATTCCATCGAAAATAGGCCAGGCAATACCCGAATCACACTTTATGAGGCCGACATGTACAAGTCATTATGAGCATTTATATTGTTTCTAATCCACATGAAGAGTTGTCGAAAGTATTGGTGATCCTCAATAGACCAATCACGCGTTTGAGGTTACTCTAACCCCTTTAGTCTTTGGGCTCTGTCCCTGTGAGACCCAATTTTTGCTGCACTCAACGCCTCTTTAGCGGCGGGATTTGTCGGGCTGACCGGCTTGATTGCGAGATCTTTCTTGTCAGGGCCTGGCAAGAGAGGTGTTCTGGCCAAAGTGAGGTCCGGCTCTGGGTTTTACGTCGGCTTGGTGGGTTGCGATTGGAAAGGAAAAGTCCTTCGAGAGCCCCGGTAGGCTTAGGCAGATAAAGGCAACAGGAGAGATGAATGTTCGGTCATGTCAATCGAAAAAAATCCCACTTGATGCTTGATTGCTGATACGTTTTGATATTTTTGACTTCTAGAATTGTGCCAGAAACTAGCACATCGTTGGCTAATTCTATATTAGCCGTCAAGCCCAGTCCCAAAAGGCTGGAATACTGAAACGGACGGATGGAGGGGTGCGAAGAGGGTTGGAGAGAAGGAGGAGTGTAACCGAGTTCGACTTCTAATTAATCGGTCCTAACATCGCGAAAATAAAATTCCAAACTAGTCCCCGGAGGCTATGCGCACATAAAACAGACGAATGAAATTTGTTAATTATTGGTTATTGCTCTTATTATACATACGAATAGATAGGCAGATTTAGTGGATGGATAAAGTCAGGTCAAAGCCTCAGACTATATTGCATCAGGAAAGCAAGCC